CACCGCGCCGTCACCGCCCCGCCCCACCGCGCCGTCACCGCCCCGCCGTCACCGCCTCGCCCCGCCGCGCTTACAGGAGCACCAGGTGGGCTGAATGATTTCCCACTAGAAAGCGAACGAAAACCAACGAAACATTAAAAAAAAGCACCAAATTAAAAAAAACAAAAACAATTACTTCATGTTTAAAATATATGAGGAGGTACGGAAATTAAAGAAATGCGAATCTGAATCTGATTCTGGAATTCATCTAGTTTTCAAAACAGTTATCAACGTTTACCCATGTTTGCCCAGTTTTGCGTTTAGGTACTTTGTTTATAATGATGCACACCTGGTTCTGTTAAGGTTTCCACCTACAATATTCCTTTTTTATTCTTCGTTCTCGATCCGGTACTGAGAGCTCTTTATTAACAAGAGGGCATCTTGAACACACTGAAAAAGAGGAAAAATAACGAGGAAAACAATATATAGAAAGTTTGACCAGAAAAATATCCAGATAGCAAACTAACAAGGTGTTAAATGTATCTGACGCACTGATTTCAGAAATGAAGTAGAGAAAAATTGAAACAAAGGCATTTTTGACCTACACGTTACACAAATGTTATTAATGCCTTCAAGTAGAAATTCACTTGTGGAAGAAGTCACCCGATGAAAGGTCTGATTCTGAGGTTATATAATTAAATATTTGAAGGTTAAACAATTGAATAAATCATTATTAAATTAAACAAAGTTTTCTTTTATTTCCAACGATCCAGAAAAATGTTGGCTAGGTTATCAACATAAACTCTGGCCGCGGAAGCCTACGCAACCGATGCAGAAAAACGCTTAAAAATACTTTTTGCCAACTTTTTCCCCACTGTCGTCCGCCACCGGGCGTTGGGCCGCGCACGGCGATTGAAGTCTTCTGCGAAAGTATTTCGCGCGCGCTACGGAATTCATTGCGACACACTCGATGTGTGAAAGGTCGCTTGCGAGAGTCGAGAGGTCGCGTGCGTTTGAGTTGTGAGAATTACGATCGTCATCGTTATTCTAAGGAATGAAGCGAACAGAGTTTTAAAAAATTATATCTCGGATATTTAATGAAAACAAGTTGGCTCACAAGGATTGGATACTTTTAATCACATAGTTTAACGAGTTATTTAGTCGAAAACAAAACCAGTAAAATCTGTAAGTGACGTAGGGAGGAAAAGATTATCTGCGCACGTTTTCTTGAGTTCCAGAATCCCTTCCTGTCATTTTAATTATAAATAGTTGGAAGACGAGTAAAAGTTAAACATAAATAAATATAAATATTTTTTAAAAATAATCTTTAAAAATAAATTTTAAAATAATCTTCAAAAATAATCCTTAAAAATAAATTTTAAAAATCGCAAGATTAGCAATATTTGAAAAATAGTAATTTTCGTTTCTGAGTTATAGAAAATTTATCGGTACATGAATTGCAAGTATGATTTTTCTTCATTGCTAACAAAATAGCAACTCGCCCTTACTTTTACTCTTACCATTACAAGCAAAAGGAGAGTTCAACAAAACGTGCGCATAGTGAAGCTACATTTACTTCCAGAAGCAAAACAAGGCCCCATCTTAGCATTTGCTCAATGGATCAGGGAAACTGCACATAAACCTGATCGAGATGGGTGTAGTGTATCTTTGGGGTTTTCTTTCAACAATATCTAGTTGCCTGATCTAGGCATGGTTACGAAAGTTTCCCCATCACGCTGTGAACTTTCTCAGGGCGAAATGAATCGAAAGGTTCGGGCATTTCGCCTCGTCAGAGAACAGGGAGTCACGGATAAGTACCGCGACACAACCGTGAGCACGGAGTCTTGTCATCTTGATCAAACAGATAGGTTTTAAACTCGCGAAGACAGAGGAGGTAGTGGGGAAGAAGATGAGTTTATAGCAAATACTGCTCCTATTGATATAAATGTAATTGAAATGAGCTACTACATAATAGTTTCTTAAGATATCTAGTTTCTCAAAATGAAAATTTAATGTTGGTGTTTAATAGACAGACTATAGATGGTGTATGGCAAGAAATGATCAGCCTCAATTCTTCTGAATGCGTACGAAAGCCATTTCACCTTCTGAAAAGTTGTAGAGGAACTCTCATAGTGCTCCTCGTCAACAGCAGAGTAATCCTGACTGCTGCTGGAGATGGTCGCTCGTGTTTTTGTTGTTTTTTTTTGGTGGGGGGGGTCCCGTTTTTTGCCACCGAGATCTTCATGGGCTGGAGGATCGCTCAATGTGAGTCACAAAAGTAGTAAGAGAACGGAACTTCGATTAAGAATTTTTGTTCAAACTCGATATCTGACTGGAATCTATTTCCTTTAGGGGCTCAGTAGAATCAATCCGTGGCTGGTGGAGTTTTGGGGTTGTTTTTGTTTTTTTAACTTTGTTGGTATTATTACCTTTCCACCTTGGATTCACGCCGTACCGCCAGGGAAGTCTATAGGCGACACCTGACAACTGAACTGTACTACTCGAGCAGGAGCACGTTGTGTTTGACAACTTGATGACACTCCTGAGTACTTGGTCTTTAAAGAACTGAAGAAGGATGGCGACCGGTCTACTGGATTTCTAGCATGGTGCTGGCATTTGACTTCAGAGAAAGACGCCTTTTCGGTGACGCTTATCTTCCGAATCTCTCTTTCCCGGAGAAAAGGAGGGCACTGGCTGTAGTTGGCTGGATGGTCACCTTCGCAATTGACACAGTGCGGTGGTGTAGCGCAAGTATGTGGTTCGTACACTAATGCACCGAACTTCCCGCACAATGGGCTTACCGACATACATCGTTGTTGCGTAAGGCCAATCCTTTGTTACTTAAAACAGCGGTAAACCCTTCGGTCTATTGAAACAGCTGCGATGGTAAGGGGCCTTGCAGATAGGGCAGTATGAAATTTGAAATCCAGCAGAGATATATTTCTTGCAGTAGTCGCATATATTTTTTGGGTGGACTGGACGCACCCTCAATCGTTGGCAGCACTCCAGTACTATCATTTGATATGGAGGCATTCACTCTTGTAATAAGTCAGAGAGAACAGATAGAAACTGGCGGTTGGTAGTACTGCTAGTGCGTAGCAAGCAATCCTCAAGCCACGTAATGAGGTCACTTATTAGTAGAAGACTTAAATCACCGATACACAAATTAACATAATTTTCAAACACCACACAAAAACATAGCCCAATTAGTTATTAGTAGGAATGCAGCAAAATAGATCCAAAAGATTAAAATGCAATTTGCGATGTATACAGAATATGTAGAAACAATCCACCAATAAACCATCTCCGATGTAGACTGGTCAGTAAATTCAACGCGGGCAGAATGAGGTTAGAAGCCACAAGAGGGCCAAGGACCTTAAAAGTAACTACAGTGATGTTAAAGCGATCAAAAAGTACTAGAAGTCATTTTTGTCCGACGAAGTCCACACATCCAATTAAAATATCCGATCACAAACTAATGAGTAGCAAAATGTAACTAAAATTTGCAAACGTAAGAGACACAACAAAAACCTGTGAGCACAGTGGTCCGCTTAACGATGAACATTAGTTATCATAATATCACTTGTTTCGCATTTGTTTATAAAACATTTAGTGCGACAGAATATTGTTCTCATGTGCCACGTTAATAAGAATGTTTAGAGAGTAGGTTATGGTAAGAGATGATGTAGGAGGGAAAAGGGGAGGAGGAGAGGGGGAGAAGTGGAAGGGGAGGAGGAATCTCGTTAAGCCCTCCCTTAAATTACGCTAAGCGCTCTGATAGAAATTAAAAAAAAAAACAATAAAGTAGGGTACACGGTACACCCTAAAGAAGCGTAAGGGGGAGGGGAAAGGAAGAGGGGAGGGGAAAGGAAGGGGGAAGGTGGGAGGGGAAGAGGGGGAAAGGGAAGGGGAGGAGGGGTCTCCTTTGGCCCTCCCTCACCTCTAATTACGCAAATCATGACCCAAAGATAGATCATTACTAGTACCTGAATCATACTCAACTTGCTACCCGCAAACCATGACCTCTTCCGCATGGAACACTTGGCTAACTTGACTAACCTCACTTGGCTAACCTCATAGGTTACTTACACACAGCACACTTAAATCCTGCAGCAAACTACGTTCTTGAGCCCATTCAATGACAGCCAAACAACCCTCTTCAACGCAACGAGCAAAAAGAAGCCACATTCATTCTCACCATCGTACCCATCATTCTCATCATCACACTCAAAAACACAAATCACAAAAAATCTGAAGAACACAAGAAACTTAACTGTACGACAGCAACGTAGCCAAACACTTCGACAGCTACCCAACACAAAATCACGTAGTCACACAATTTATGTCCCCCACACACCATTTCGGAATGAAGTTTCGACAAGATATTAGGGTGAAATGTCCCCCACCCCTAACTTTTGACATCACGTTCGTGACCAATTACGAATCATTAAAATTATTTCAGAAGTGTATTTTTTACAATTTATTTAAATTGTTTTTTATATGTATGTACCAAGTTACGCATATTGCTCAGCACTCCTCCCCACTGAAAGATCCCCCTCATAATCTCCTAAACACCCTTGTCCCCTCCACCGGAACGGCGCGAAGTGCCGGTTTAAACGACTTCCTTAGGTTGTACCGTATACTACACTTCAGTCGGGTTCTGTTCTTATACGTCAAGATTCCATTCGTATCATGAATCTTTCTGTATAATACTAGTTACGTTAATAACTTTAGTTTTAGAAATAGTACCTTGTAAATAAAAGAAACAAGTACTTACTATATTTTTCAGAATTCCATTTCGGACGTTTCGGTTATGATTGCACAAGCTGTATGCTGATGGATGAGAAAAAATCACAGGCGAAAACTTTGTCGACGAACAATGAAACACCTTTCATCGTTCTTTCGGAGATGTGAGACATCATTCCTAGTCCATTCATTTAATGCTTGAAAATCTAACACAAACAACAAAACCAGAAGGAATGCGCGATATTTCGAAACTCTCGTAATATTTGTACTCAACGTAGTGGGCCGAACTAAATGCCTAATACCACAGAGAAAGGGTAAAGAGTATACCTAGTTTCTCTATGCTAATGCGGAGTTTTTGACAACAACTTGTCAGGACTGCTAACTTCTGAAGAAAAAAAAAAAAAAAAAAAAAGTCCGGCCAGCTATTTCAAATTGAGGAACATTCAAAATGCCTTTTGTCCAGTAGTATTTACTGATTTTTGTCTTCATCGTCTTGTTAGGCTTTGAGCTCAGGAATTAGTAACTTATATTACGTAAGTAATAATTTTTTGCCAACAATGCCTACCTCCTACAAAATAAAACTATGCAACACTGTAGTATATTAAGTAAATATTTAAAATTATAAAAAATGTTATCATAAAATTAATTGCTAATTATATATTAATAAAAATATTTATTTACATAAAACTCAATAATGTTATTGATATTTTTAAATCCATTACAAATAAAACTCATTAATCATCATATGAATAGCCTCAAAAACAAGATTCCTTTAAATTGCATTAGCGCACTATTAAATAAATGGAATTGTTTTCGAGTTTTCATTGTAGTGATTTATGAAAGTTCTTAAAAAGCATTCTTTCTTGAACTCGAACTCTTGCTTCTGTGTTGAGTACAAAAGTATATTTTTTGCTGTGTCTTCAACTGAATCCAAAATTCTTCAATTTTTTTAAAATGAAGATCTGCGACCAGAAAAATCCAGTCTCATTGTATTTAGTCTTTAATGTTATAATGTCCCTGAAAGCAGTAATATAACAAAAATTATTTTATTTATCATAGTAATAGGAGTAGGCTATATTTAAATAACCATTGAATTTTATTTTGAACACTTATGCACATTGTAATACTAATAATTATTCGTTAGGTGAAAAAAATTACCTTCATTTAAATAAATGTTTATTTTATCTATTGTGTGGGAGGAGTCCCCTATGTAAAATTATATGAATATCTGTTAAAATTCCTTCTTGTTTTTGAGGTGACTAACAGATGCTACATTTCATGTATAAATTTGTTAATGGGTACAACATCAATCTGAAAATATATCTCTACTTGATTATGGCATTTCTTTCTAGTGTTTAACAATAAATTATTAAAATTTATGATGTGTATAAAATTTCTTCACTCACTTGCACATTTTGCAAATTGCAGAATGAATTCTGATATATAAATAATTAACTAAACCTTGGGTGAATGCCACTAGATACCATGGAATAAATTCAAACAAACGTAATACACATTTTAAGAATCGAAGCCAGCGTCTGCATTTTGGTAATCTCAATGCTGCCAAAGAGGTTGGAAGCAACCAGACCTCCTTAAACCTTTAATTGTTGGTGCGAACTCGCTTTCATAAAACTGTTCCAAATGTTCTCTCTCTCTCTTTTTTATTTAAAATAACATGCAATAATAAATTAAAAAGTAGTACTATCAGAACCATATTTGGCATGACAGCTAAATATTACTAATTTTAGCTTGTTTTTACATATTATGTAATCTGAATAAATGTGTTAATTTGTGGCAAATACTACATAAGTTTTCACCAATTTTATCAAATAAAGATAACTTGCTTCAATCATATTATAATAAGTTTACAAGTGTAGTATTCATTATTTATCATTTCTTTTTTTACACAAATACCAGTTTACTAATTACTGGCCTGAAAATCACCTGCATATTAATCTGAGAGCACTGTTATATTTGGTGGTAGCACTATTGCATTATATTCGGTGGAAATTTTCAAGAGTTTAATCTGTCAGTTATGTCTGTTACTGTTTTCGAGGACACATTGCATTGAGAAAGAAATACCTGGCTTTAATATTGGAGGTATAAGTGAGACTCGCAAATAAATTTGATCTTATATAATTTTAAAAATTTCAGAATTTTAATGAAAATTGAAATAATATAATAATTATAAATGTATTTCTTTAATTGAAACAAAAAATTCAAGAAAACAATTGCACCCATTTTCCAGAAAATTTCACTTGACTTTCTGTAAAGCACCTCCAAAATAAAACATCCTAATGATCTTTGAAATGGTGCAACTAGATCTTACTCCTAAAGTATTCACCAAGTTTCAGCTCAAAAGCTTGTAATCTGACAGTAATGCAGGACATATCTATCTACTATCCCCACAAGTATTTCAATTTTCAGTTACAAAATTGCTTTATCTCTTCTTCACCTATACCAATCATAATCATCTTTGGAACAGCGCTAACAGCACAATCCTGATATGTACGAAGTTACAGCTCAAAAGCACTTGACAAAGCTTTTATGACAAAAATGTTGAGATCGTATTGTTCAGGTGCATCCAATAGTTTCTCTCCCTTTAGTAATATCATTTTGTAAAAAGGCAATAAGAAATAAAATATATTCTGAGATAAAGCGTACATTGAGGTGAGGAGGCTGGTCTTGAACTTCAGATTTGCTTTGGGCTTGAAACCATCTAGCTCAAGCACTGCACTAGTAATAATCACATGGCATCGACAATATGATACAGACTTTCTCTTACCTAAATTCTATTGAAACATAGGGAGAATAAATTACTAACTTGTAGTCAATTTTTTAATTTTTGTTTATTTTAAACACACATTACACGAGCACAAGCTTTCACATGGTTCCAATCCTCTTTCTCAAAAGGTCATCATTGTCTCTTTACAATCAAGAGGATACAGAACCTTTCTTCTCACCGTTAAAAAAAACAAAACAAGACTTTCACAAACACATATAAACCAGAGAGGTCAGAACAATGTCTTGGTTTGAAACAGTGAGGAATGGCAAGACAATGTCTCAAAGCAGTATCTTTCAAAATGGGATTCAAATTAACACGTGAAGATTTGCCCTTTTTGAGCATCAGCTTTACATTTTAAATGTTCAACACATTTCATTAAATTAACTGCATTTTCATTAAATTAATAAAATACTAACTTTTGCTAGACTTCATTCTGTTTTTTTCCTTAATATTGTTTTATATCTTTAAAGAAAGATTCCAATACTATCAATAAGAAGAAGAAGAAGAAAGAAGAGAGCAACAATTGAAAGAGTTCATACCATTTATCAAAAGTTGAACACTGAATCAAAAAGCTTGAAAATGAAGAAATAAAATAATGGATCTATACAATAATGAATGGTATAATTTTTATATTATTTTTTAAACTGAAATATTATTTCATTCTTTATCAAAAATGTAACTTTCAAGGAAGAAAACAGGCTTTAAAGAAAATACTATTGTATTCCAAAAGACACTGCATTTGTTTAAAAATGTTCTTGGTAGGTAATTAAAAAATATGATAATCGCATTAAAGATTAAAAGCTGGGATATTAGTATGCAATAATATAAACTGTATCAAATGGAAATTCACACTTACAGAAAACAAAGTTCAAGCGTTTTCTTCACAAGAAATACATTTGCAATTAAGTTGTTTTCATTCCCTGTAATGAAATAAATAGTACTCATTTTGTCTTGACATAATAACCTCACAATTACAACAAATGGTACTGAGAAATATTATTACAAAATAGCAGGTAATTCTAATTTGTGATTACATTTCAGACACCCATTTTCTGGGAATAGAAAATGTTTTAACAGCACACCTTACTTCCTACATGGAAAAAGACCTGCAAGATAATAGTACTGAAGATGGAAGCTCATCAGGAAGACAGAATGTCAAAAATGCTACATATTTAATAATGAAGTTCAGATTTGACTGCATGACAAATTCTGACAAGTGCACTGTTGAGCTATTGAGTGAATAGAAGGAAAGTAACTTGCAGAATATATTTTTAGTTTCTATTCAGAGGCTTACTACACTCTAATACTGTTTAGTTCCTGGTATCACACCAAGAGATAAGCAACATTCAACAATTTTGTAGGTTTACATACATGTCAAACCTTACACTATCTCTATAAATATAGCAAAAGCATGTGGAACAACATTTGTATATTTCATTACTAATTACCAATATTGGAAGTAAACAGAAACTGAAATGAGTCTGGCAAATGATGCCTTTTGCACTGTATCACATCTGGAAAACAGACATCTATTAACATTGCTTGAAATATTTTCATAAAATCTGTATTCTTGAGCTACATAGACAAATCGAGAGAATAAAGACAAGTATCAAATTGAATTCACAAGAGTTTAATTATCAATGTACTCATGAAATAACTTTTATGATACACTGTGCTATTATTGGCACAAAAATTTTACTTGTTTGTCAATCAAATGTACAATACATTTGCCTGTTATTTGGCAGAACATTTGCGTAAAGGAAAGATATATTTCAAATGCATTCATTTCTTTAACCAAATTTTGAAAAAACAATATTGGATGAATTGCAGTAATGACTGAAGAGGTAAATACAAGTTTCTATACTTTACAGCAAGTAACTTCACTGCTCAGACATTACACAACTGCTAAGAGGAAGCATGAAGCTTCCGGAACAGGGACTGTACATGGGAGAACACTTCGAGTTTGTGATCAATGTGCATTTGAAAATATCAACACTGCATTATACTTTTAACTCTTACATAATATAAATTTGTCTTATACATCAATAAATGAAGTCCCACACCAAACATTTTGCTAATTTCAATAATCATTTAATGTACCAATACAAATTTGAAATTATATTTTTTCTTTATTTTAAATCTTACTGTCTATAAGGTATTAAAGTAAACCTTGGGTACATTTCATAATGATAAAGATTGGATTATCATATTATTTTGTGTCTATTTTTAACTGAATATATGTTTGTTGAAAAAGAATATTAACCACACAGGTACCACACATAATAAACACTAGTTCTAATACTTAAAAAAGACTAAAATATATATCATTCATTACTAAATATTCCATTCATTTCTACCGAAGACCAAGGAAAACTCACTAATTCGATTGATTTAACAATATGTAACAATAAATTTCATTCACAAAAGTATTCACACATAAAAAATTCAAATGCACATAGATCATGAAACAAGCACAGACCCTGAGAATGCTACGGTTATCACAATATTATCTCACAGAAAGAGACTGCTGACTTCACTGGTGGTGAGAATGGAGCAGACAGAAGGATTTCATGTAGGTCAACATCATACAGAAAAATTCACACACACACCTATTTTTCCTATCTATACCTGAAACTTTTATTGGGGAATTTCATCCATACGGATTCACTATTGGAGCAGATCAGTTGTACACATGCCTCTCTCATTAAAAGCATTTTTCTTCAAAATACTTTCAACTTTCTAAAAACGCAAAGTTGATTAGTTCAAAGTAATTAACTGAAATATTGCAATTTTTAATTATTTTTTCCCCCAAATTTAAATTTCCTTGGTTATAATTTCCATATTTACTCATATTTAAGATCTTCTCTTATTTTCTTGAATGTCAAAAATAAGATGCAAATTTATTTCCATTCTGAACCCGTGAACAAAAATAGTTTTTCCTTTAGCATCCATGACTGGTAATATTACAAAAACAATATGCAAAATTTTATGCAGAACTGCATTCCATGATCTTACTGATAATCTCACTCAATCTAGCATGTTTTTAAAAATATATCACCTTTCCAACAAGTGAAAAAAACCATCAAGTTGAAGACACACAAAATACTAAAGGCTCCCAAATTAAAACTAGACTATGTAATTCTTGTAATCAGCCTCTACAAAGCTTTACATAAATAAATTAATGACTTGATGGGATTTTTCAAGGATCTTAAATTATTATCAATTATTTCAATTTCTCAATAACAACTACTTTTTAGACAGGAATGCAGAAAGAAAATGCTTACCTTCAATTTTAGACCCTAAAAGTATTCCTAGTACAGAAATCTGTCTTATACTTTAGTAAATATGGTACCTCAGGGCTATAAGAACACATTCTAGAGTGGGTGAATTCTCTTCTCATAATGGACAAACTCTAGCAGAGCCCAACCTAAAGATTATTATCATTAAACATACACTCTTAATAACACTCACTCGGTTTCATGTATGCATTATAATATTAAGTGTATTAACATATTTCTTTGCAAATAAAAGAATCAAGCAATCATTAGATATAATCTCAATCTTTATAGAATGCTGTTTCTCACTCAAATTATCATTGATTTACATAAAAAACACACACACACTGCTCAGCTGGGTATAAGATTACAATACAAATTTGTAAATCAATAAAAAAATTGACAAGCACTACAGAACTAATCACTGAAATGCATTTTGACACATTTTCATATAAGACAATTACACAGATGTAGTACTAAAAAACACAACATAAAAAGTAGAACTTAAATACTGTGCAATACCAAAAATTGCCACATTTTTAATTCCTTAACCTAAACACTTCAGTGATGCTTTTACGTGAACAGATTGATTCTACAATTTTTTCTTCCAATTTAATAACTCAAAATCCCTTTGCATATTTCATATGAGATAAACATAAATCTAAAGATTGTAATGAAAGATTCTGTATGAAATGCATTTGCCTTCAGAAAAATATATGTTATCTCCTATATCTTTTCAGAGAATTTTTTTCCAATGCTCAAACATCAACATTCTCTATATAAAACACACAACCTTGTAAACTCTCCCTTCGAATTCTAAATATGAATTTGACTAGGGCTCTGCTGTTGCATTTTCATAAGTTTAATGCAAACAGATACTCAATAAAATGAAGATTCCACCTGACTCTGATTTCTTTATCTCATCAATGAATTTTAAGTTACAATGGATGTAAGGAGGTGTAGCAATTTTAATGACATATCACATATCATTGAGCATTAAAAATTTAAAACAAAATGTAATCTTGAATTGGAGTAATATCTATAATTTTCAATTTCTAAACTCCATCTGCATGAAAATGACATTAAGAGGCACTTCAGGTATTTGCCAGATTTTTAGAAAAATGAATAAAGAAGGTAAAAAATGAATTTAAGTAATCAAGACATATTAATGTTTACTTTAAAGGGAAGACTAAATACATAACTCTGAAGCTTCTCTGCAATTTTTTATACTGTTTCTTTAAGTGAATAGGTACAAAGTCACCTACATCTCCATCAAAAAGATGGTCATCTTAAAAAAGTAAATACAAATACAAGAATTGATAATGAAGTTGAATTAGACATGATTCTTCTAAAGAAATCAAAGCCAGGTGTATGTCTGGATAGCTACCAACCAGGTAATAGCATGAAGGCAGACTTCCCATTGTATATTCATAAATTGATTACTATTTTCTTCGTTACATTTCAGATTGTGACCACTTTTGAAAAATAAATTTGCTCAGTCTCCTTAACTCATTTTGTCAATAATGGCAAGCAACAGGTACCTGATGTTCATATTGTTAAGTTAATATATATTTTATCAAGAGAAGTGAAACTGTTAGTTGAATCATTTCAATATAATCACTATTAAAATTAAAAATGATATCAATATTGTCTTTCAAACATCTATAATTCAATAATATACTGATTTCAATGTCTAAATATTACGTTAAACAAGAAGGTAAGGATAACAAATAATATACCAAATGAACTTTTTGCAATTAACTCCAGTAACAAATTTTTAAAGCAATTATCATAATTGGAACACTCTTCAATTTTATTTATCCAATAACAATGTGATATTCTTTTGAACATCCATTTACAACTCCTCTGCAAAAATGTGGTCCTGTTGTCTTGCTTTAAACAGTAATCTATGTTTGGAGGAAAGGGTTAAGATCATGAGTACCTAAAGTTATTTTCACTGATGTAGAGACACAAAAAGCAATGGCTCACGTCAACCTCACAAAAGCAAGCACATTCAAACATAGTATACAGGCAGTAGTGAGTTCGCCCGCAATTCATTATTCACTCTTATTTTAATTAAAAGGCAGTAAGAGCAAGAAACTGTAATAATCGGGAAAATAAATTTCCTATTTTTATAGGCTTTTTATTGCATCTTCATGCTCATTGCTGTGGGCTTCTTACTGTGGGGAGATGATTCAATTATTGTCAACAGTTATAAGACATTCATAAAATAAATTTTTAAAATGACAAGGAATGTGGAACAATTTTACAACAATTTTAGTTTTCTTCACATTTCAACTACATATTCTGAAATTATTATTGAAAATTGGATTATTATTGGATGGGCTGAAATATTCATAAACATTTGAGATTTAATTAAAATAATAATTAATTATAATAAAATAAAACATATTTCAATGGAGCTAATTACTATCATTCATCTTATGAATCACAAACAACTACTGCCTGTCTTATGAAACTACATGCAAGGCATAATAAGTGTCTTGTTATCTAATTTAAATAAGGCAAAGTGACATTGACCTTAAAAGTCACCTTTCCAAAAATAGCTTTTTCTTACTTCTAAAAGACCTACAAGTAAAATTGTACATACTATGAAATTAAATAATTTTCACAACTCCACTCCTCTCTTTAATGGAAACAAACAGATCCCAGTCAGAGAGGAGGGGTCAAATATTCATGAGAAGAATTAACAGTCTCATCCAGATTTTTCACACAACTCTCTGTGTCAAATCCAATGTCATGGATGATGAAAAATGTGACTTGTAGTGGTAAAGAAATGTTTAACACTATATGTACTCTTGCAAATGTGATTTTGTGATTATAGAAATATTACATTTGACATAAGCATATGGTATAATACTCGACTAGGGACACAATTATAGAAATGTTTAAACACAAATCACTCATGTACTGAGCAAAGATTAAAAACAATTAATCTTATTTTTATAGCAAAATCACATCTGCATAAAGTCCTTTTGCCCTTATAGGACAAATTGTGTCTCACAACTGAAGCATCTTTGGCTTTTCTTGCAGATGCAGTACTGGAAGAACATCAGCCAATGTCTATATGAGGTATAAGATGAATGCATGGTGAAATAGAATTGTCACACCACTTTTCAAAATGAGTCAATCTCTTGGGTAGCCGATGAGGTGATGACAGGCATCTACACTGCTGAATCTTTTCCAACAAAAGTACTGCGAGTGACTGCAGTAGTTTTACCATCAAAACCCACAGACGTATCTCTCTTCACACTGTTGAAAGATAAAATATTAAAATAAATTAGAGCAACATAGGAAGCTTATAAAATTTTTATGGCTTTAAGTGCTATAATAAAAACAAAATTTACTATTTGTCATATTTTTCTTTTTTTCTTTTTCACTGTTCCAATAATTTCAGAAAAGTGTATTTTCATTCCCATTTGAAAATATTACAAATTATTATGATTATGAGTCTTAAAATATTACTGATCTACAGTTGATAAATTAGTATAAAGAGAATAGTTACAAAAGAAAGACTGACATGTTTAAATATTTTGTTTTGTGAAACTAGAAAGCAAGGAAAAGAATCATGAACTGTAATTTTTTCCAAAGTATCATGTGTATTAAACAAAATATTCATTAAATTATAAAAACTATTCATTAAATTATAAAAACCTTCTCTTGAAAAATTTCTTAAGTTGTTCAGACATTCAACCATGCACCAGACAATAAATTTCAAATTTAATTAAATCAGTACTTTTTTAAATATTTATTGCATTTTTTTGTAAATATCAATCATTTTAAACAAATGAGAACCAATTTTGTATCAATACACATGGTAAACAAAAGTATATACATCTTATTTACAATAATAATTTACATATAACTGAAATGGTTTATAAAGGCATTCCAACTATTCTAAAAAAAAAAAAAAAGTCATGAATAGACTCGTGCAGCTAACGTAAACCAAGATGCTTTTAAAATATCAAAACATGACATAATATGTTGAGGATGAAAATAGCATTCAAGAAGACCGTGATCTGATAAGGCATACTGATTCAAAGAAAGGAAGTTTTCATATTCTATCAAATATTAACTCAATGTTCTATATACATCATGCATTACAGTACCTACCATCCAAATGGTATGATCCATAATGGTAAGTCACACTGTTGTATTTTGTATTAAATATGATATTTCAATGGATGATGCTATGTTGGAATGGAAGAAAACTGTTTCAACAAGTTAAACTCATACTTAAAAGAATTTTTTTTTTTTTTTTTTTTTTTTTTAAATTCCTTTAGGGTTAAAAATATCTTTGTAAGGCAAATAATGCAGTGCTCATAAAAAACTATGTTTTTCGCAATTTCTGAATTTAATGCTATTGGCCAAGAGCAATGTACTGACAGGAACAGGCATTCTTCTCCTTCAGATTTTGCTCAGTGTCATAAATTGGGCCTAAGAGTCATCCATAAATTATGTTAAAAAAACGGGCGGGGGGGGGGGGGGGGGGGGGGGGGGGGGGGGGGGGGGGGGGGGGGAAGATTTGTTACATTACATAAGGGTAGGGTGGTGTTAGTTTAGTGTCATGTAATGCTAATATTTACTTTTTATTATTTTTCAACATTTTCAGAAATAATTCCTTTTATTCAGTCTGATATTAAAACATAAAAGCATTAACAATTTAAAAAATATAAATAGTTAAAATTTTTTAACATTAAAATTGTTACAATAAATATAAATATGTTTTTGTTAATGGTAAGTTAATTGAATGTTAGGTTACAAAGAAAATATTCAAAATTGATCTTTATTCTAGAATTCAATTAAATTGGCACAGTAAACTCTCGTCCATGCGCATATATTATATATTATTAAAAGGTGTGTGCACAACTTGTTATAAATTTTCTTGCCTATGCGTTGTTCCTTCACTTAAAAATTGTTCCAATCTTATTTCTAGATGCAGCCATCTTTGCCAACTAATTCTAATTTTAAAGATCATTAATTTTAAAATATAACGCAAATAAAATGAATACTAACTGTTATCACTATTATTTAATTTCAGGGGGGTTCGAGTGCTTGTTACAGGTATGTTACACAGGGGAGAAGCGGTTTTGAAAAGACTAATTTGCACGACATAATTTATGGATGGCCTCATAAGTTCTTTAAAATACAGTAAATGGAATGATGTATAGGACTATTTTACTTTCTCTTCAAAGGAAAGTGTAGGAATTTTAGATTTTCTGCTCTCAAAGGTTCTATATCTGACCCTCTGAAAAACTCGTTGAGTACATTATCGAACCACAGCATGTGATTCTAAAGTCACATGTTTACATAGCATGATGTTTTATATCCCTTTCAAAGGAAGGTGAGTGAATTAAGGTATTTCTGCTCTCAAGATTTTAATGTTGTACATGTACATGGGCTGGACTGCTTTATTTCCCTTTCGAAGGAAAGTGTGAGAATTTCAAATTTTCTTCTCTCAAAGGTTCTACGTCTTTGAGCCTCTCAAATACTTGTTGAATACAGCATCTGATCACAGCATGTGAACTCAAGCCGAGATGTTTTCCACGAGTGGCAGGTCTAGCCTTCACTTACCTCGGAGCGTAATTTGGAGTTAAAGGCCTCATTTCATCTCGAAGTGGCTCCTTAGCATGACTACAAGGAGAAAGAGCCTTCAGTGAATATCTACAGTGCAAGCCAATAGAAAGAACAAGGACTTCACCAAGCTCACAGAAGGTGCATAATGGAGCAAATTTTAAAAATAACAATGTAATAATTTAGGGTAGCGTTTCTCATCTATCGGTTCATCAAACTTTCATAAATGTACAGGATTCTGAATGATTCTCCAAAAACGTTATTTTTTGCTTCCATAACATCCACAAAGAAAAAGAAAAGTTATGAATGAAGAAGAAATATTTGTAAAATGGATTCTTTATTGAAGTGGATGAAAAAAAATTGACACCTGTTCATGAATTAATAAGCATATTTAAATACTTTTTTATTTTTTATTTTATTTTAATTTAGATCACAATGCAATTTCACATAAGCTTAAATACTTTTATTAAATAGATTTCAAATAATATAAAACGTGAACGAGGGTTAAAATTAATTCAAAAAATTAATATCTTTTACAGGGGAAGGGGTAATTTAATAAGTTATGGATTGATAAAGATAGAGAAACACCCCATCAGGAACAGGGAAGAAAGAAACACTATAGTACAGCACTTGCCAACATTCAGTCCAAAAATGCTTCCTAAATTTCATCAGGTTTTTTAAAATGACACAAGGTGATATAAATTCAAAATGCTTAAGTATAAAACTTCATTATTCTGTTAGGTATAAAATACTTCCACAGGAAGTGAACATTGAAAATGTGCGTACATTGTTAATCTAATACTGTGATTTGGTGATGTCTATTTTATCACATTTCTGCTTTTATATCACCACTGCATTTCTTCCTACTCTTAATAACAAAAACTGGAAATTAATATTTTAGAACTTGAAAGATATGTATCTTGTAAGAAAGATAACAAAAACAAATTCAAAGGTCACAAAATAGAATTGAATTATGACATATTCCACATATTCACATTTCAAGGTACAAATTTGAGGAAATTACATTCTTAGCAAGTGAAATGTGAATATCAGGAAATATTTTTTCTTGAAGACACAGTGAAGGAAGGAATTACAGAATTGATAATTGCACACATGTAATTCAAGACTATAACTCAGAATAAGAAGAAGAAAAAGTCACAAAATTTTCTCTACAACTTGCTTGACAAACTCATTTTTATACAAAGCAGGCTGTAATAAAAAACACAAGGCATAACAATAAAAATCTAAGAAAAATGTAATGCAAAATACACTAATTTTGAGAGAAATGCAGTATTCATCTGGCAACAAGTCACTACTCTAAAGAACTTGCTTCAAGTGTTTTGCCATTAATCTCCTTCCTAATTTAATTTATTTATCATTAAATAAATAAAAAATAGCTAACTCTCTGCCTAGAAGAAAAATCTCTTTAGATCTACAAGTTAGAAGCAGTGTACAATTTAAATTTACATTTATACAAGATTATTATCAATACCAGAAGAAATGTGAATTATACATTGCTTCTAACTTATGCTCTGATGAAATAAAGCATGTGTAGATAAAATGTGTGCAGAAAGCAAAAATATAATATATAATGATCTAAATATACTATCGATACAATTAAAGACTTTGGGATGAATCAGCGACTGGTTGTTGAATTAAAGACACCAACGAGCATGGCTGGTAACATTTGAAAACTGGACATTTACATTCCCAATTAATTCAAACTGTATTTGTATCAGTAAACAAACTACAGATTTGATTTTGTACTACTGGTGAAGAGAGCTGAAGAAATGAAAAGTCCATGACATTATTGCTAAGATTTATTGTACTGATCTAACTTTATATTATTAAGAAGACTATTAAGCAACAATTAACTCATACTAATCTCTTTAAAACTTGATGGCAATCCCAAATATAATGGCAAAACACATTGATAAGCATTCCACTACAAATGCCAGATTAAAAACGTTCATGTCATCACATCAGGCTGTTGCGTAAACTACTGTCTACGGAAACAGCTTTATCTACTCTGACATGATGCATGTTCATGCAGCTTACATAGGCGTCTTCTCTGGTAACTTCTCTGCTACAAAGACAGCTCCTGCATCTCTGATGCTGTGCAAGCAGATTGGTATTCTGGCATTACATATTGTTATCATTTCGAACATTTAACAGGGTGTCGACCTTCCAAAATTTTTGGACATTTCCAGGCATGCAACAAAAATTCTATCTCTGATACAGCAAAGTGTGTTGATACAAATGATATATTTCTTATTATCAATTTTTAAGGCAAAGTATCCTCAATTGAATAATACAACCATTATATTCATAATTAATATTGCACAACTGTAAATAAAACAAGTTTAATTGACACGATGATCACATAACTTTTTGTACTATTTTGTGCAAAATCTTTGTTTCTTTAAATCCCCCCTTCCAACTATTTTTGAAAAAAATTGGAGCTCTAGAAATATTCAATCATGGCTCAGAATTCTAATAATTATGTTAATTTTCAAATTTCATTCTGCCAACTTCATGTGACAAAAAAGACTTCTGCTTTGTGCTACATTTGTATTTGTTCAATGCCAAGCATGAGTAAAAACATCATACATTATTTCATTTAACTATGAAAAAATAATGCCTCAAAATTCAGTATATGAAACACAAATGCACAATTTTATAATAACTTCAGATTTATTTTCAAATGTACAACAATAATTTGATTTTTCTTTGCCAAAACTCAAAATTCTTGGACTTTTCAGGTCCCTGACTTTTGTTCAAATTCCCAGACTTTTGTAAGTTGTCTAGATCTGTCGACACCCTGTAAATAAAGGGTCATGGGATTCTTCATAATACATACTACCTGCATCATGTCACAGCATGTATTAAGATGGGAGTGAGAAAGAGAGGGATCGGCATTTCTTTTGCAATTTGAAACAATTTGCTTCAAAAATCATCTCTATTTAACTTCTAAAATTCTCTACATACCTAACTAAAAACATTTTCTTTTTAGATAAATTGGAGTATAAAATTTACAGCTGCTCTCTCTAAAATATTTTATTTCATTTCCTCTGTTGACCAACCTCCGTCCCGTATTTTCTTCATCCATTTCTCCAAATATTACTTGCATTTATGTACCTACTACTTCATTTAGTCCTCCCTCTCCTTTCATTGTTTTTTTTCCATTTTCTTTCCAAATCATTCATTCCTTTCTTTGACTTATAGCTTTATTTTTTACTCAGTGATACTTCACTCTTTCTTCCCCAGTTGTTTTATCTTTCATCAATTACTCAGTATTTTCTTAGGAACCCTGACCTCTCTTTCTTTTATAAGTCAATCTATGTTCCATCATATTGAAGATTGCAACTAGGATTGCATCATCCATCACAGTTAAGAGTTGCCACCTTCTGGAACCCTGTGACCCTGAGATTTTGAATTGGGAGAGGGTGTCACAAAAATTGTCATAATGAATTTTTATTTTTAAATTATACTGATAAATATATTTACTAATGATAAAATTATATAAATTTTCAATATAATTTGATATTATTTAATTTTCATTTAAGCTTATTTTTCAATAGCTTTCACCCAAATAGGTTATAATTTAAAACAATGTTGTTTACGTTTCTGATTCAAATCAAATTAATACAAATTAAAAATATAAAATAATATTTTACACATATTAGACATGTATAAAACTGATTTTATATTCATAGTAATCTTTAATGTATTGACATTATTTTTGGCACAGCTTGAATTAGATCTGGAATTATTAATATTATTCAATGCAGAATGTACTGAAGTACTGTTGCACTAGTTTTAAATGATCACAAATATTGATGAAACATTTTACTGTACAAAAGAATTAGGTGACAGGTATTCTCTCCTTTCCTTCCTCATTTACCAAATTTCTCTGCCCCCCTCCCTCTCTTTTTTATGTTACTTTTCCCCTCTCTCTACAACCTTCATTTCCTTCTCAATTCATGTCTCATTTTCCACCCGTTTTCTTCTCCACTGATCTTTCCTCCCTTGCTCTCTCATTCTCGCGGGGTCTCTCTCTCTCTCTCTCTCTCTCTCTCTCTCTCTCTCTCTCTCTCTCTCTCTCTCTCTCTCACCCCCACACACTAATTTCTCACCCATTTCATCTCTCATTTTCCTCTTCTGCCTCATTTACATAATTTTTCCCACACTCTCTCCTTACATTCTATTTTTTTTAGAATATACAACCTATACAACCATCATTTTCCTCTCAATGCTTGTCTCATTTTTCAGCCGTTTTCTTGTGCATTTATCTCCTTTCCCTTCCTCCCACCTTACTCTCGCACTATCATGGTTTCTCCTTCCCACCCTCTCTCTCTGTCTCCCACCCCCTCCATCACTCTTTCCCCACCCCAACTCTGTCCCCCTTATTTTCGATCTCCCCTCCCTCATTCTGCCTGTCTTACACTCTCCCGCGTTTCTTGAGGCCCCTTCTCACGTGAGCACTGCCGCGCGCTTCCGATATGCGGCAAGGAACTTCTCTCAGGGCCACCGCCGCCCGCCGTGGAAGGAGAGTTCAATACGGGTAGGTTTCGCCGACCGTCCGGCGACGACGAACAAAGAAATGCAGCAGGTAAAGCCCCAAGACCTCCATTTAAACCAATGCTTTACTACCAGGCACGGCGTTCGGAAGCGCGCTGCTGTGTCTACGTGTAAAGGGGCCCTTCCTTTCTCTCCCCTCCCTCACTCCCTCTCCACCCTTCCCTCACTCTCCTCCCATTCCCCGATCCTTACTCCCACTCTCTTCACCTCCCTTCCCCCACTCTCTCCTCCTTCCTTTATCATTCCCTCTCTCCTCCTCCCTTCCTCTGTCTCTCTCTCCAACTCCTATCTCTTCCTCACTTTCTCCTCCCTTCCCCTCTCTCCGATCCTCACTCCCACTCTTTCCACTTACCTCTCGCCCTTCCCCTATCATGTACCTCTCTCCACCTCCTATCACTCCCCCTCTATCCACCTCCTATCTTTCCCCGTTCCTACCCTATCCTTCTCCCCTCTCCCCGTCTCTACCTTCCTCCATCACTCCATCTCACTTCCCCTCCCTCCACCTCCTATCTCTCCCTCACCGTTCCTCACTCCCACTCTCTCACTCCATCTTCTCACTTCCCCTCTCTCCACCTTCCTCTATTCTACCTTTCTCCACCTCCTACCTCTCCCTTTCCGTTTCCTCACTCCCACTCTCTCACCTTCCTTAACTCACTCCATCTTTCACTTCCTCTAGCCACTCTCCCTTCTCCCCCCTATCTCTCCCTCTCCGTTCCTCACTCCCCCTCCTATCTCCCCTCTCCGTTCCTCACTCCCCCTCCAACTATCTCTCTCTCTTCGTTCCATCACTCCCACTCTCTCCACTCCAATCTTCTCACTTCCCCTCTCTTTCCACCTTTCCTCGTATCACTGACTCTTTTTCTCTCAGCCTCCTACCTCTCCTTTCCGTCTCTGCATCCACTCTCTCCACCGTCTCCATTTCTCACTCCTATCTCTTTCACGTTCCTCTATCCTCTCCCGCTTCTCTCACCTCCTATCTTCCCTCTCAGTTCGCTCACTCTCCCCCTATCCTCCCTCGCCGTTCCTCACTCCCACTCTCTCCACTCCATCTTCTCACTTCCCCTCTCTCACCTTCCCTCTATCACTCTACCTTTCCACCTCCTTACCTCTCCCTTCCGTTCCTCACTCCCACTCTTCACCTTCCTTTCTCACTCCATCTTTTCACTTCTCTATCACTCTCCCTTCTCCCCCTCCTATCTCTCCCCTTCCGTTTCCTCCACTTCCCCCTCCTATCTCTCCCTCTCCGTTCCTCACTCCCCCTCCTATCTCTCCCTCTCCGTTCCTCACTCCCACTCTCTCACTCCATCTTCTCACCTCCTCTCTCTTCACCTTCCTCTATCACTCCCCATCTCTCAACGTTTCCCTATCACTCCCTCTCTCTCCCTCTCCGTTCCTCTGTCTCCCTCTCTCTCTCTCTCCGCGGGGGCGCAGCGCTTGCGCGCGGGCGGGCGGTCACACGCACCTGGCTCCGATGCGCAGGCCGGCGTGGGCGTCGGGCGCGTCGGGGGCGTCCTTGCGGTGGCGCGCGCGCTCGCACAGCGCCGCGATCACGCCCGCGCGCCGGCACGCGAAGCAGCCCACGTCCAGCAGCAACAGCGCCGCCAGCAGCGCGCTCACCACCGCCGCCACCAGCGCCGCCGACGACAGCGCCGCCGCCGGCGACGACGACGACTCGCCCGCCGCCGCCTCCCCGGGCGACGCCGGCCCGCGCGACGCGCCTGCGCAACCCCCGCCCGCCGCTCAGCCGCGCCGCTCGTGCACGCAACCGCAAAGCAAAGGACAGACACGGAAGGAAACGAAAAAGACCGAAAAGAAATAGGAAAAGATAGGTCCATCGATCGATTGATAGTCATTCCGGGCGCGTCAACTGCTTAGATCGTAAGTGTAGTGCGTGTTTCTTATTGCACAAAGTGTCGGTGATCTTCCCCAGCTGGATGGTGAGATCCGATTGTAAGGGTAGTGCGTGTTTCTTATTGCAGGAAGTGGCGGTGATCTCCAGCTGGATGGTGAGATCCGGCGCCGACCTAAATGTAAAATCGTAAGTGTAGTGCGTGTTTCTTGTTGCAGAAAGTGGCGATGATCTTCCCCAGCTGGATGGTGAGATCCGATCGTAAGTGTAGTGCGTGTTTCTTATTGCAGGAAATGGCGGTGATCTTCCCCAGCTGGATGGTGAGATCCGATTGTAAGTGTAGTGCGTGTTTCTTATTGCAGGAAGTGGCGGTGATCTTCCCCCACTGGATGGTGAGATCCGATCCTACATGTCGGCCAGCGGGGGTTTTCTCCCACCAGAGGGGGGCAAGCTCTAAGCTCCCGTCATGTGTGGTCGTGTATGTGTGTGCAAGTAAGGGGGTGAAGATATGGCAAGGTTTGCGGTCATTGATCGGTCTGCGGTGGAAAATTAATAAAAGAAGAAAGGTATGGAAAGAAATAAAGAAAATCAGAAAGAAAATTATAAAGAAGAAAATGAAACAGCTGGACTGAAAGTTACAAAAAAGAAAAAAAGCAGAAAGGAAGTATGAACAATAATAAGTAGTTAAAAATAATAATTTTATTCTAAAAAAAGTTTTCGAAATATATAATCTTAGGTAAAGAAGAAGAAATATTAGTGTTTTTCTACATTACCAAGGAATTATATAATTGGAAATTATTTTAATGAAAGACAAGAGAAGAAAACAAAAGAGAATGGAAGGTAAATTAAAGTTTACATCCTTAAACGATGATCAACAATAACGGAAATCCTGTCAAGATTGAATAATAAAAATTATCTTTAAAAATCATCAGTGAAAACGAGTCAATATATTACACCTAACAAGGTAATGGTACAAAGAGGATTTAAAAAACAAACTAAACCCTTATAAAATTTCTTAAAACAAGAAGAAAAGAAAACAATGCATCATCAAGAACAAGATGTAAGTATTATTGTTTTCAAGAAAATAACTATGAAATTCAATGACTTTGTCATTCAAATAAGAAAATAGGGAAATACATTAAAAGTCCTCAAATAGTAAGATAATGTCTTGTCATAAATTAATATACAAAACCCAGAATCATAATGCAAAAAGTAAAACTTGTTAATGTCTTATGCTTGTGATGTATTACATACAACAAAACTACAGTTGCCATAAGATAATAACTGATGTATGCAAGTTGACTTTCAAGACACTAATAAATTCATAGCATTTTAGTTACATTCAAGAGAAATCAGTAAAAAATACCAAAAGAAAGAAGAAAACAGTACTAATATTTGTTCATATTTAACATTAACAAGAAAAATATTAAGGATATATAATTTAGAAATGTTCATAAAGTATTTTGACCTTATTTTCAATTTTTTTCATGAAAACATGAATTTACGAAAAACAAATCAAGGAGAAAGGAAACAACATACACTAAAACTGAAAAATGTGGAATGATATGATTTGTCTTTTAAATATTTCAACGAGTCGTTTTAAGGGCTTAAGCCGAGTCAAAAGGAAAATTTTCCAAACTTGAGGTTAAAAAGTAACGAGTCAATGCTTTAAGCACTTTTCATTGTATTTATTTTAACGTTTACTAATATAAAATAGTAAAAATAAATAATGCCAATTAATGAGACAGTAGTAGGAAAAGAAAAACAAAGAAAGGATGGTCAAACAAGTACAGAAATCACATAATAAAGAATAGAATGATAAAAATGAAAAGTAAAGTAAAAGGAAGTAAAGATGTTGAAGTTATATTGAACATCTCTTTTCTTATAAATTAAAAATCTGAAGATGGTTTATAAAGATATTACAGTCTGGTTATATTATAGAAAATATTTCACACGAACAGTGTAAGATTTGTGTAGTGACATGCAAGTGATAAAAAATAAATTAATTTCTAGATTTAAAACATCAGTGAAATACCACACACCACCTGTGAACAATTAAAGCAATGTGTCATTATGGGGAACTGGACATTTCTACAGTCCGCCAGATACAAGTGACTGGTGGAACTCCAGTTATGTTCTTATAGTATAAGAGACTTTACACAAAAATAGAAGATTGTCCAATTTACTTCCACAAAACTCAACTATCAATTTTTTTATTCTCACGCTCTGATTATCTGATGCATTAAAAGATGTACCAATTAGTATATATTTTATGGTAATTTTTGTAAATAAAGAAAAATACATTTTAAAAATCTTTTTCTGTGAACTTTTGGTAAAGTCGATCTTTAAATCTAAATTTTCGTATATGTATACAAAGTGTTCAATGATTAGCGACCATACCATCAATATTACATAGGCTACCAGTCAAAATTACTCTGATGCATGTGTTGAAGCGGTTGTAATTTTCGTTCAGATTCGTAGCGTTATTGGGTGCTTTGTTTAAATCCTGCATGGGAGTCAACAGCTCCAAATCACGAGGGATTGCGGAACGATTAGACGAGGACTGACTAGCTATACTAGATTATTGTAAATCTCCTTGAAAAAGTTTGAATGTCTCCGACAAAGTAATTTCTAGCTAGTACCACAGTATACGTAAATACGTAACCTATAATAACGCAGCTGATCACCTCTTTTTCTTTGCTAGTTAGGAATGCGCACGCATAAAGCTGGCGATCCTGGTGGAGACGAAGTAAAAGAACGGATAGCTGAAGTCAACGCCATCTTGACTTAACACACCCGTGAAGTCAAAAACGCCGTTCTCCTTTCCGGAGGGCGTTGCTGAAATACACCGAATTGTTCGTAAAGTTGCATTTTTAAGAACTGATGACGCATTAAAAAAAATGCGTTGTCTCTTGATTGAGGTAAAGAACTACTCAAAATAAAATATCAGCCTCACATTTAGTGAAAACACAAATGCTTTACTTCATGCAAACACGTGTATGAGGGAATTGAATATGGAAATAGCCGAATGAATGCTAAGCAATAAGATTTGTTTTTGTATTAAAAAGTAAGGAGTTGCATCCTTGTGAAAAATGCAAAATCTCTTTGGGTGATGTCTAGATGAAGACATGACAAAAAATGTATTGCTTTAAAAAGGTTAAAACTTATAAGCGTGTTCTGCCAGTTTTAATCTATCTATAAGTGTGAAGTAGTTTTAATGACAGAATTTGTAAAACTAATTGCTAAGCAAAATATTGATAGTAATCAAACTCACAGAAATCAATTTTGTGAGTTAATGAAGATAGTTCTGAAATTTGTTGTGCGAATAAGAATTTACTATTTGTTGAAGTACCAACAGGGAATTACTTCAAAAAGGAAAAAGCAATACGAAATATTTAAATTCCATTTTTTCGGACGTTAATATTTTATCAGTAAAAAAAGAAGATATTTTAGATGAAGTTTTAAAAATAATTGGTACTTTTGTGAAATAAAATATGCGCAATCAGCATCAGCCTTATTTTTATTTGCACGTAAGAAACAAATTTTCTTGTTTTAATAAGCCCTTCTGCATGCATTGAATTTCGTCTTTAATTAGTGTAATTTTGGTACTGAATTAGATCAAAAGTTTCTAGAAATTTGTAACAAAAAAATATTGCTCTTTTTCCTCTAGAATCATGATTTTATTCAATTTCAACAGACACCATTAATTAAATAGGTAGTTAAAAATGTCTACTTCACCTGTTATATATTTAGTTATGCTCAAGAGGAAATTGAAATATAGAACCATTTACTTTTTGGTCAGATTTAGCAGAGCGAAGATGTATTTCAAATGATGTATGGAATGAAATCAGCGTACTTTTCCTTTGTCACCGCACAGAACACTAGTCACTTATCAACACGTCATAGGGCATACAGAACTGCGCTATTGTATGATTTGTATACTGTGGTAGTGGTTACCTTCTTGAACTTTAGATTATATTTATTTAGTCAAACATACAAAAAACTGTATGTGACGTATGAGGGAGAAGATCATTGACGTATGGGGGAGAAGAACTTCCTCAATGCATTTCGAATTATACATTGAAACTATAAATAAATGTTACAAGCAGAATTTTATTCAATGTATAGGACCCGTTGCGTTTGTCAGTTATTAAATAATGTATTTCAAACACTAACAAGATATCGTCGGTAGACAAGTCCATGTTTGATATTTTAGTTACATCGCGAAATCATATTTTTCCATTTTTTTAATAAGTGTAAACAATAAGTTTGTACGTATTAAATGATCGATTATTTCGTTTATCATTTCATTAATACGAGTGAGCCACAGCTCAGAGAAAATTTGAAGGGAAAAATATTCGAAACCTGATTTTTTTTAGCAAACAAATTGAGTAACCAAATTTAACAACTTAATCTTGATTTACCTCGAAACACTGTTTTTGGCCCTTGTATACCGACAATACATTTCGTGTATGTCTTTATATAATGAAATGCATAAATTTACAATGTATTTCATTATAGTGTATACGTAGTGAACTAAGTCTATTGCACGTCTGTAAGCCAAACTAGATATAACACATATTCTTTAAAAAGTTCTTAAAAATCTATTTGGTTCGGGAGCAACTTGTGCACGCTGTACGCGACCATGTGAATGACTGGTGCACGAGCGTTGCTGGTCTATTCTCAAAATTCCACGGCTTTTTTACGAGAAATTCATCTACATGGCCAGATGCTTTTCCTTGCCTCTCCTTTAATCTCTTATTATTCTTTGGGATTCTGTCCCAACTTGGAATCTGGGATTATGTCCCGTCTTGACCAGCCGATCTCTTCCAGTCTT